CATAGAAAGATGTTCGAAAGATATGTTTGAGAAAAGTCAGCTATAGAAAAGTGTGTAAAGTATAACCATTTTTTTAAAAGGAAAAAAGTAAAAAAAAGATAAATACTTGTTATTTGTACCTGCAAAGGGAAAGATGGATGGATACCAAAAGAGGGTTATAAAGGGATACTCACTTTATCTGTAATACTTTATCTCTTAAAAATAAATATCTGAGATGTATATGACAGGATATATGCCTTCTTTTTTTTTTTTTTTTTTTTTAAAGTAATCTCTATGCCCAACATGGGGCTTGAACTCATGACCTCAAGATCAAGAGTTGCATACTCCACTGACTGAGCCAGCCAGGCACTCCAAGATATGTGTCTTTTAAAGTTCTGGTTTGTTTATATTCTGTACTTCTCTGTGTATGTAAAATGTTTAAAAAAACTTTTTAAAGAACTTCATGGAGAAGTCAGAAATGGGGATGCTTTCCTGATGGTACATGTATTTTGGGTTCAAGAAAAAAATGGAAGGTTTTACAGGTAAACATAGAATTAGGGCAGACAGATGACAATGTATTTCTACTTTCTGTCCATCAGTTAACACCTATTGAACACTCATAATAAGCTAAGGATGATATTGTTTGAAAATGCCCAGGGTGGTTCAGTAGGTTAAGCATCCCACCTCACCTCAGGTCATAATCTTTCAGTTCATGAGTTCAGGCCCCACACTGGGCTCTGTCCAGACAGTGTGGAGTCTGCTTGGGATTCTTTCCTTCTCTCTCTGCCCCTCTCCCACTAGTGTGCTCTCTCTCTCACTCTCAAAATAAATAAAACTTAATAAAGAAAAAAAAAGAAGATGCCCAAAATATGAATGGAAATGTTTAAGAAGACTTAAGCAGAAACATGTATGCAAATTTAATACAGTCCATAAATGTTGTCAGGAAACAAAGAAGTAATTAGAATAGTGATTACATTTCAGAGAGAAATTTAATTTTGAGACAGATTCTGAACGAGGAGATGTTCATAAATTTCTATTAAGGAACAATTCAAATAAGGAAATGGCCTATGTGATGAGCCACATATAGGCCCTTGTCAGCAGAATGTGGGGAACAGTGGTAGAATAAGGTGGTTGGAGCACAAGTTCCTTCTCCAAATTCTGAAGAGCTAGGAAAACGGATGCCAGTATTTACATGAACAAATGCAAAAAAAAAAAAAAAAAAATGGCAATATGCAATGAAATAGAAGGCTTAGGCCACCAGGAAAACAGATTTGAGGTCACAGATTTACATTGACTGCTGATCACCTTCTTCCCTATATTTGCTGACTCCAGTGGAGGCTTGGTAAAAATGTAAAATGGGAAGCCAGTACTTATGCAGTGCTTTGAAAGAGAAAAAGGGAATGCTGATGGAGACCAGAAGTGAGCCTCCCTTCCTTCTTTGTTGGAAGTGGTAGTGGACGTGGAATTCTCTCTCTAGGATTAGATATAATTACTTAATAGGTTAACATGGACAAAGATCCTTCCCCCGAAGGGACCATCTATTTTGAAAATACCTGTTTAATGCCATCAAAATATTGTAGTGTGGGGTTAAATTCAGTTTTCTGCCTTCAAATTAATTTGAATGAAAGGCAGAACTTAATTTTTTTTTTTTTTTTGCGGGAGGGGGGATGTAGATGGCTCTGATTGTAACAGAAAATTTGAGTCAGTCCGATGTATACAGAAGGCGTCCATGACCCGTCTGGTTAATCCGCACGTCCTGCTACCTCTGCCTCCTCATCACCACTCACACCCTGAATCCCACTGCTGGTTTTCCAGATCTGGCCTCACCCCAGTTTGCCCAAATACTGTGGTGGCTTTCCGCTGCTCTCCCCACCATACTGTGGCCACAGTGAACTCTCTCTCTCTCTCTGACAATCTGAACAGATCCCGGCTATGTTTAAAGTTGGACTCAAAGTGGGGCTGCCTCACGCTGATGTCTCAGAGTTGTGAGGTGGGTCATAGGCCACATATAACTGATAATAACGCCCCAAAGACTCCAATGAGGCGTTTGTCTTAGCCCTGTGTCTAGAATACCTTCCCCCATTGCTCAGGCACTGGCTCTGACGTCTGGCAGGCGCAGGTCTCAGCTCAGATGGGAATCCACAGTCTTTACTTCCCAGCTGGCTCACATTCTTCTCCTAAAGCCTTGCTATGCTTTGTGTAGACTTCCACATAAGACCTGTCTTGTTTGATTGCAATGGTTTATTAAGCTCCTTGAAGACAGAGACCATGTCTTAGTTTTTTTAATTTTAGTAAACAGCAGCTTCTAGTACATTCTAGGCACACAGTGAACATTAATGGCGATTGAATGAATAAATTAGTACTACCATTGATATGGAGTACAGATTCCCCCGTTAACTAGATCAACATTCCCCCCACCCCCATTCCTGCTATAGATGGCAACAGGGAAAAACCCTTCTCCCTAATTATGTTATATAACACTGTCCCATAAAGTGTCTGCATTTTGAGAGCAAAGGATGAAAGACATCTTTTTTCCTGTATTAAAATTAAAGATCTTGATAATTGGCAAAGAAAGGACACTAGATTCATTAGAAGTAGAGTGGTCTAGCAATTCTTTCTGTCTCTGTAACTAATTACAGATGAGTAATTTAAAAAAATTAGTATCCATAAAAATCAACCGCAAACCAATAAGGATGATGAGTTGAATCATAAAAATTCCATGCTATTTATATTTCCCCCCACACACTCGGTGCATTTATTCTAAATGGAAAAGTACAAATATTGGGATAAAAACATTTAAACTACAGAAACAAGAAATTCCAAATGGTAATCCTGCCTAAAGGGCAGAATTTAAACTACTGTATGTAGGATTAAGAGGCGTGGTTAACCGAACATTTGAGAACAAGTAATTACCACTGAATCTCTCTATCACATATTTGTATCGCACATAATTTACACAATAAGCCCACAGTGGGGATTAATAAAAATGCTGTTTGAAACATTTTTTTCCAGCCACAAATTTTTCAGGCATCTCTTCTCCCCCTCATGAAAGATCACTTACTCCTATGGCCTTAGGTTGGATGGCAGTGGGATATTTTTTCTCTGATATGTATGGACAGAGAAATAACATTTCTTTTTTTTTTTTTAATGTTTTATTTATTTCTAGGAGAGAGAGAGAGAGACAGCGTGAGCAGGGGAGGGTCAGAGAGAGAGGGAGTCACAGACTGAAACAGGCTCCAGGCTCTGAGCTGGCAGTAAGCACAGAACCCGACGCGGGGCTCGAACCCACGAACCGCGAGATCATGACGTAAGCGAAAGTCAGACGCTTAACCGACTAAGCCACCCAGGAGCCCCAGGGAAATAACATTTCTAACTTGGTATTCTTGGCTGTGTCCTTCCAGCTAATCATGGGCATCTGAATGTGGAAATGCATGGTCCCTGTAGCTGTTTTATGGACCACTTCAGAGTGGAGTGGACATGCAAGGGAACGCTTTCATTTACTCATGTATTTGTTCATTCATCAAACGTGTATGTGCCAGGCTCTCAAGACACCAGTGAACAAGACAGGTCCCCAACCTTGAGGAGCTCACAGTCTAGTAGCAGAGGCCATTAAGCTAACAATTATAACATACAACAAGGGGTGCCTGGGTGGCTCAGTCCGTTAAGTGTCTGACTTCGGCTTAGGTCATGATCTCATGGTTCGTGAGCCCCACATCAGGCTCTGTGCTGATAGCTCAGAACCTGAAGCCTGCTCTTCTCTCCCTGCCCCTCCCCCATTAGCATGCACTCTCTCTCTGTCTCCCTATCTCTCAAAAATAGACTTTAAAACAATTTTATAATACAGAACAGGAAGCCACGACAGGGGGGTACTCAGAGAGTTGTTGTGGCTCTGATACCTGCCTGGGATGGCTAGGGAGCGCTTCCAGGAAGAAGTGCCTTCTAAGTTGCATCTCAGATGACTTACAGGGACCAGAAAGTTGAAGGAGGGTAGAGAAGTGGAAAATTCACAGTCTAGGGAAGAGCTGGGAGAGATGAGATTACAAGGGGATGTGGGAGAAGATAAGGCAGGACGGTGCTTATGGATGGAGGACAGCAAACACTTGCAAAGATATGGGGCCTGAGACTCTAAAAGCCACTGCTTCTGTGGCCCTCCTTCCCTTTTTCCTTGGGACACCTACCAGAAAGAAGACAGTTGAGAGTTCAAATATATTTGAGAGAGACATTAAATTTCTGTGCAGCAGTGTCTTGGCTGGACTGTTTCTGGCATTTGCTTTTATTTTAGCATTTTGCATGAAAAAGGGTGATATATGCCATCAAGCCATAACTTTGTAACTGGCCCAGCTCTCTGGCTATAATTCCGTATTTGACAAGATCATGACCCCGGGGCAAGGGATTTCACCTCACTGTGCCCCAGGACCTCACCTTTAGAACAATTTGCAGAAGGAAATAAGTGACTGTATATAAGGTATTCAGAACAGAGCTTGGCACAAAACAAATGTCCAGTAAGTATTAGCCATAATGATTGTACTCTATACATAGGAAGTGCCAATGAAGCCAGTTAGCCAGTTATTTAAATAACCAGCATGTCTCTCATAACCAGCTGACTTCTGGACTGGGCCCAGAAGTAAAGCTGCTGTTGTTTAATGTCTTTGGCACTAAAAGGAGATTAGAAAAGTTAACCCTGTGAACACAAAGACTGAACCTTGGCTGCCTTTCAAAAGTTACAATGGAAGTTTCTGTTTATAACCATTCATTGAACGTTCATTATCTCCACACTTAGTGCAATGTGTCTAGTGAATATCAGGCCTGGGCATACAAAGATACCTGAGTAGGTCTGAAAATCTGTTATTCATTCAACACATGCTTAGCAAGTATCCAGAAAGTGAAAATCACGTTGAGGATAAAATGATGATTTGGACCCTCTAGCAGAAGGTGACATATCCTACAAAGAAGTAGAGACGGTAATAATGAAAACTTGCTGAATGCTTTCTTTACACCATGCTCTGTGCTAAATGTCTTACCTGGATTATCTCTGAGTGCCTGGGAGCTGGGAGAGAGATGGCTCTGAGCTGGGGAGATCAGGAAAAACTTCGTGGAGGTGGAAGCGTTAGAACAGGATCTTGGGGGCGGCTGGGTGGCTCAGTCAGTTAAGCGTCTGACTCTTGATTTTGGCTCAGGTCATGATCTCCGGGTCGTAAGATCATGTTGGGTTGCATGTATGTGGAGGCTGATTGAGACTCTCTCTCTTTTTCTCTCTCTAAAAAAAAAAAAAAAAAGAACAGATTCTTTGAAAATACCTCTAGAGTGTCATGCTTAACCCTGGTTTTACAACTGAATGGGTCCAATGGCTTTTTCTAAAGACGTTTCCTTGTACAAAGGCTATTTTAAAGGAAATAGCCAACAAAATGGAATAGTTTCTACTAAAAACTTTCATCTGGCTACAAAATACAACTACTACCAACCTGAGTAAGGGTCTAGCTGTTGCTTAAAAAATTAACAACTTCCCATCACATTCTCAAGCATGAGAGCCTTGTTGCCTACAATGCAATCCAGGCCCATTTCTCCCTGAATGCTCCTTCTTTCCCACAAATCACTGGGACTCATGTTTGCAGCACACTCTGAAATCCTGTTCCCAATTATTGGTTGTGTAATTTATTGATAAAGCAAAGCCAAATATGAGTAAGAAGGAAAGCCTAATTAGAAATGAAGCACTCAATGTCCCAACAAGGAAAATTCCAGGGCTTCAAAAATAGAAAATCAGTGATGCATAGTTTGAGGGCTTTGTCACCAAAGAAATAATCCCAGTATTTAATAAACCAGAAATTGGATTAAACAGATGGGGCAACGTTATCAGTGGCAGCGAATGGGCACCTTCAGAGAAACAGAATGATTTAGAACCAAAATGACTCTGGTACACACTAAAGAATATCTATTTGGGTCCTGAAATGAATGTGATAAAAAATGTGTATGAAAAGGAATATAAAACCAGCCATGAAGAGAGAACATAACAGGGTATGGACAGGTATAGAAATGCTGGAGCTACTATTTTTTTAAAATAAGATTGATCAAATAATTCAGTCAAAGAGTTGATTTGCAGGACTTTTTTTTTTCATTGAACTGACTTCTTGAGTGAATCAACCAAGGCAGTAACTTTTAGTAGAGTGTGGATGCAGCTTCATTCTAAGAAATTTGCCCTTAAACAGAAAACCTTTTCTCACAACAGAAAAGCCACCCCACCAGCACATGTGTCTGCATATTTTCTGCCTACACCTACCTGAACATGTTTCTAATCGGTTGACCATCTATATTAAGGCAACTCTTAGGGCCTGCATTTTGCCTTAAAGGAGAAACAGCAGAGATTCAGTATGTCTGAAAGTCTTTGAAAATTATAGGACCGAAATTATAGGACACTCAGTTTTGAGTGTTGGTGAGTTGCTGGATGGTCCTTCCCAGATCACTTAGCCTCCATGTTTTCTAATTATTGTATTACACAACTAAAAGAATGATATTCACACACGCACGCACACCCCATACCCTTGAGCACTGAGAGAAACAGGCTGATCAGGAGGCTTCTACATCTGCGCGAAGCAGAGAACTGGAGACAACAGGAAAACACAGCTTCTGAGTGATGGCAGAACAAGTTGCTACTAATGTCCCATCTTCCAACCACTGATGTGACCTAGGGGTCTTTCCCAGCCAGGGAATAATTTTAGGGAATGAGCTTCCTGGTGAGCTCACAGCTTAACACTTCTTGTGTCACCATCTTGAGTCAGCAGTGGATAATGCTGTGCAGAATAAACTAATTTTAGTCATCTGTGGGATCCTTGTAAACGCTCCATAGTGACTTCAACAAGTCAGTGTGAACTTGCTATCTGTGCTTTATTTCCTGCTCTCAAGAACCCACGAAGGGGTATTTTTAGAGGATGACCTAGGATTTCTCTAGGTGGGTTTCTCTGTTTGAGAGCTGGTAGCTGAAACTTTTGCCACAGATTCCAAAAGTCAGGACGCCTTCTGGTTAAATGACCCAGGAAAGTGATTAACAAATATGGCCACAAAGGACATGGAAATGTGTGTCTTCTACGTGCTACAGGAAAACAGTGCTGCCCACCTGACTCTCATTGTAGCAACATTTTTCGGGAGCCTTAGACTGCATGGAGGTAAGGCATGAGGAGAGAAAAATGCTTATCCTGGAGCTGATACAATTTCCTCCAGCTATCATACTATACATTTGGAATGTGAAATGATCCCTCAGCTTCTTAATCATCCCGTTCTGTGCTGCACCTCTGGGCTCTGAGTCATATTTCATCGGCAGTCAATCACATGCTGAATATAGAACACCTCTAATTTGTTCAGCATCTCATGGGTCATTGCGAAAGAACAGAGCCTCAGGACAAACTCCGCTGGTCAGATCACTCAGGTCCAGGTGTGTGAGCAAGAACTCATATTTCATGAAGAATTGTGTGTAAGATGTTGCATTAGGGTTTTGTGTTTCTGAGAAAGATGCTGGGTTCAGCTGTATTTATCAAGGAATGTGGAAACCAAGAAGAGGGGCTGATTTGGGTGAGGAGAATTGTAGGCAAATTAAATCCCTGAGGTTGCCGTGAATAGTCAATCAGGCAGAAAGAATGTGAAGGGACCCAGCCATAGGTGAAAGACATCTTTTGGCTTTTGGCTTTTCATTCTTAAAAACCTTCAACCCTGGAACATTTGATATCAATTTTTCCTGGTCTAAAAAGAGAATGAGACAACTTCAAAGGAAGTGTATGAGAAGCATAAGGAGGAGAGAAGGTGGGAGGGTGGGGAGAAAGGCAGAGTTGGAAATATTAATAGGGAAAAAGAAGGAAATGGTGTGTCCTGTAATTATTTGTGTAAGAAAGGCAGCTAAGAGGAGTTCCAGTGTAGGATTACTGGTTCTTGAATTCATTAAAAGTAACTTTGAGACTCTTGGATTTGGGGGGCCAAGACTTTGCTATAGGAAACTTCATTTAAATTCCTCTTTCCAAAGAAAACACACATCACACCAAGATATACAGTCTATGTGTAGTTTCGTTGTGCTGCTGGAAACCCGGCCCCGCTGATGGATTCTTCTCTACTGAGAATCCCAGTGTCCTCATTTACCCCTCTAACGGCGAGCCTGATGTACTCCAGTTGAGTAAAGTCTTTCAGAGCAGAGGCAGCTGCTGCTGTCTGTCCCATCTGCTCTGAAAGAGGCCTGGGCTGCGGTCTCTGTGAACCACGCGGGCATCGCTTCCGCAGGATCCTAAGAAACCAACCTTTTGAGGAACGTTGTGTTAAGGAATGTCTGGAATGTTTTTCGTCCTAAAGTTCCCGGGAAGCCTATATGGTCCATGATGAAGAATGGGCAGAGCAGTTTTACAACGTTCAGCAAGGCCAGTTCAGATCAGAGGCAGATGTGGGGGGCGCGGGTGTGTGTGGAAGCATTAAGATGAAGGATAAGACTGTCTCTTCTCAACCATTAAATGCAGTTTCAGAATTTCTGAATTCCAACTGCATCGTACAGACCACCTACGATGGTTCCAGGCTAAAGTGACAGGGTAGGTGCTAAATAGGCTATAAATTTTCAACTAAAAAAGGAGCAACTACCTGCAATTTATTTTTTCATATTGGCCTTTAGTTTAGTGTATGAATGAGTGAACGTTGTTAAACTATCAGCATAACTGCACTTTTGACTTTATGTTATTAATGACAGTTATTCACAGAATCAGGAAGTCCTATTTCTAAATATATTTTAAAAGTTTTAAATATGTTTGAAGGTTTTAAAAATTCTATTTATAGGTAGGTGCCTGTGTGCACACATACACATACATGAAAATGCATTTTGCATGAATGCTTTTTTGTTTATTAGAACTGGAAACTTACTAAGGCTGCAGACATTGTTTTAATAAAGATATTTAGCATTTAAAATTGTATTTAGTGTGTAGGGTACCATGGTCATTTATTTACTTTTTATTTTGAATATTCTCTATCACGGGATATCTCCTGAACTTTTGTCTGCATTCCATAATAAGAAATGGATTTAAAAATTTTTAGTACACTCACATGCATATGTTTATATGGTATTTATATTCACATATAAGTATGTGTAAATGCATATACATGTGTGTGCACACATGTGTACACACACATATACATACACACACATATATACACACTCAACAAAATTTCATGAAACAAAACCTACCCTTACAAAGTGTAATGTGTTTCTGGTATTTTCTGTTTTATTTCTTAATTTGTATAAAATATCAATTATGACTCATTAATTTCCCTATCCATTAATGGGGTCATAACCTGGAGTTTGAGAAATACTGTTTTACTTGGCCCTTCAAATAATTTCATAATTCTATTAAAGAAGAAAAATATTGTAAGGCAATAATATGGGTATCAATTTGAGATGATTTAAGGAAATAAGTGAGTGCTAACAAAAGGACTCTGTATCTTTAAGCTAATTATGATCATTATTGTTATATTTTGAAGAACATTACCTTTTTAAAAATAAGAATAGTATGTAGAATGAGAATAGTAAATAGAACATAATCCCTTTCTTCTTTTTGAATAAGATTTTTTGCAATCTTTCAAACTTAAAAATTAAGCTACCTCCTTTTTTAGGCTTCCAAACCCTCCCTACTCCCCATTTTTCTTTAAAGAATATCAAGATAGGGGCATCTGGGTATCTCGGTTGAGTGTTCAACTTCGGCTCAGGTCATGATCTCACAATTTGTGGGTTTGAGCCTCATGTTGGGCTCTGTGCTGACAGCTCAGAGCCTGGAGCCTGCTTGGGATTCTGTGTCTTCCTCTCTCTCTGCCCCTCCCCCACTCATGCTCATTCTCAATCTCTCAAAAGTAAGTAAAAGTGTTAACAAAAAAAGATGAGATTTAATAGAATAAAAAATTGAAGAGTAAAATGTCTAGGTTTTATTATAACAGATTTCTACTAGCTCTTTTAGAATTATAAAAAGGCCACATGCAGCATGAGGATAAATGCAGAGTCTGGTTCTGAGCACTTAAGGATTTCTTAAAATTGATCTGTAAACTCGACTTTTGAAGACAAGATCAGACATTAATTGCCAAAAAAAGATAATAAAGAAATTTTGTGGTGACTCTCTATGTGTGAATATGGAGATTCACTCTGTCATGTGAATGATGACCCCCTAATAGCAGAGGTCTGGTACTTGTCAATAAAATTGACAGACTGGCCCGAATCCAGACACTGAAAAGACTGTATATTCCCCTTTAACC